ATTCATGTGAAAACAACAAGGACTCAGAATATATGAAATAAAAGCACTGTTTCAAAGAAAAATTACTAGAATATTATATATGGTACTTGTGTATTTCTGGTCAGCTTTAATAAACAGCTTTATCTACATCCCATTCTGTTACTGTAAGTTTATTGAGATGCGTGTTTCTATTTGTAGAGAGGCAGAAGAAAACAGGGAAAATAAGCCAAGCAATCACAAATAAAGTATACATTGAGTGATACACATGAAATCCTGTCTACAGCTAATCAAATTACACTGAAAGGATCTCATAGTCTAGGAGTTGGTGACTCACAGCTCCAATCTTAAGTATTCAGGAACCTGTGATGTGAGTATTGGGGTTCCAAGCCAGCTCAACTAGGAAACTGACCAGACTCATATGCCCAATAACTCTCAGAAAAACAGACGTAGAGTTGCGGTCAAGTGTTAGAGTGCTAGTCTTGAACAAAAGAACTTAGGGAGAGTGCCAGGCCCTGAGTCCAAGCTCCATATCTGACAAAAACAAAAACAAAAACAAAAATAAATCCTATGGTTAGTCATTGTTGATGGGTACCATAGAATAGAAGAGAACACACCTTCTTACCAATACCAGGGAGAAATCCAAGTCCAAGGAAGAACAAAAATTTCTTCATTATGCCAGCCACCATGAATAGAACTTGACATATTTCTGTCCAGTATATCCTGGTCCCAGCATTGCCAAGGAAAACACACCCCCCTTGAGCACTGGAGAGGACAATACTTTCTTTCCATGGAGAAGATCCAAAATAAGATCAGCTTCAACAGGTGGCTGTTGAAGAACCCACAGTCAGCGGTGTGCTCTCAGGTTAACTCTAAGTAACTGGCATGCATACTGTCATCTTGTGTGGCAACAGAGGTGGCTCAGACCTCTCCCTCTTGGAGCCTGAAAACCTGAAAGCTGGAGGTGAGCTTGAGGACCATTTGTACCTCTGATTAACTGGACCAATAGAACCCATTTGAATTTGCAATAGGGAAATACACCCCACACAAGCTGATAAGCCTAGCAGAGATTGAGTATACAGTGTATCACATGAAAAGGAGGAGTGGCAGGCCCAAGCGTATTAACTGGACAAGTGGTGGCAAACTAAAACTAAACTAACATAAATACATTTGTTAGAACAAATTTTAAGGTACTTATCTGCTTTTAAAATCAGCGTCCTACTTTGATTTAATTGTGGCTATGTAAATTTTTATGTTTAAATGGCCTGAAAATGTTTCAACTCACAGATATACTTATTCTTTATATTTAGCAGATTGGTAAACAAAAAAAGAACATAAGGTTTTTCTACTGTCTTTTCAGTTGTGTGGTTCTGCTTTTTTGACTGGAACCTTGGCAAATTGTCTTTTTTTCAAACAATTTAATTGGAAAATTCTGGATAGTTTGATAAAGTAGAAGAGAAGATATGAAAACAGGAACCCAGAACTAAGAATATGAGATTAGGGAATCCAGACAAGGAGATAAAACAGGGAATGAAGCTGTGGACAACAGTAGGAAGAGTCATTACATTAAGGGAGAAGACAGAACAGTGGGAGGATGGAGGATGAACTGGGTGCATAAACCAAAAACTCCTTCCAGGGTTCAGCATGTTCATGAAGCTGAGAAACTGTTGTGTATTCCCCTGTATGTATAGATATGACATCGAAGCTTAGAGAGGTTGAGAAGCTTGTATTGTGACAAGGGGAATTTCTTTGAGGTCATCTGATGAACGTGGATTCATGGAGAGAAGCTGCAGGCCAAGGAAGGAAGAGGGAAGTGAAACCTGGAGTGGAGAAGGCAGGCTGTGCAAGGACACATTTCCCTCTCTGATCTGCAAGTTCTGTGAAGAGAGTTTTCAGGTGGGAGAGACAGGAAGTCTGTACCGAGTCCTGAGCAGCAGCATTGCAGAATCAGACATCAAGCAGAGCCCTGAGCTCCTGAGGTCCTCTCTGGGAGATGCTGCTCCTGCCACTTGTGTTGCTAGCTGTGCTCTTCCCAGCTGGGGACAATCAGGATGGTAAGAGCAACTGGGGTAGCAGCCTGCCCTGTGGCGGAGGTCTGGATAAAGACAGGCTGCACTTACCTGGTGAGCTTAGTCAACTAGGCTCTGAGGCCTCCTGTCTCCAGTGTCTTGACCATTCTGGAAGTTGGGGCTGAAGCCTGAGGGCCAAGGCTCTTAAAGAGACAGTGCTCATGGGTTGCACAGATTCTGAGTTTGTGCTTTCACATCTTCTCAGTGTCCATGCTTTCATCCCTGCTCCATCCCATTCCTTCCTTTCTTTACATGTTTCTCTCCTTTATTAACAGCCTTCCAGGAGCCAATCCGTCTGCACTGCATTCAGATGTCATCATTTGCCCACAGCATGTGGGCACAAACTCAAGTTTCATGCTGGCTCTATGATTTGCAGATTCATGGCTGGGACCATGAGTCAGCCACTTCTATATTTGTGAAGCCTTGGTCCAAGGGGAATTTCACTGATGCTGAAGTGACAGAGCTGTTGGACCTATTCTGAGTGTACCACTTCGGATTCATTGAGGAAGTGCAAAAATATGCCAGTGATTTCCAGTTGCAATGTGAGCACTGTTGCCTCTCCTCCTTCTCTCCCCTGCCCTGAATCCCCCTCTCCACCCCTATCTGCCTGCACACCTTTCTCTAGAGCAATCTCTACATCTCTTTGAAGTACTCAGATCTGGCTTCTTTTCCTTTGGTCTCTGATGGAGGAAATCACTTTCTTTGTGACCAACACCTTGTTTTTCTTGTAAGAAACTTGTCCTGGCTTTCCTTCCCTGTGCCTGAATGCCCTAAAATGTGACTTCCTCTTACTCTTTTTTTCTAACTTTATCCTTCCTGATTGGTCCTCTCTAAGTGAGTCTCTTATTTCCCTCAGGAAGTTTTGACTCCAACTGCTCCTCACTCCACCTCTTCTTTCTCCTCTTCCCCACCACACACCCTACTCTGGCCCATTCCTGATATGCCTGCCTCTCTACCTGTTGTAATTGTTTCAGCTCAGCCTTTCACGCTCCAGAATTATAGGCTCATAAAATCTGAATCCCTCGACCTCTCTTACATCTCTTTCTGTCTTGTTTTCTGCTTAATAACCTAACTTTTCTTGCTTTCTTCCTATCAGATCCCTTTGAGATGCAGGGCACAGCAGGCTGTGAACTGCATTCTGGGGGAGCCATCCTAAGCTTCCTGACAGGCACATTAGGAAAACTGGATTTCCAGTATGTCAAGAACCACTCCTGTGTACTCGCACCAAAAGGTGGCAGAAGAGCTCAGAAATTCTGCACATTAATCCACCAGTACAAAGGTTTCTCGGAAATTGTGGGTACTCTGCTCTAAAAAACCTGCCATGGCTAGCTCTTGAGCCTTCTTGAAGCGGGCTTTGAAGTCCATGTGCCCCAGGTTAGAGGTATTTTCTAGTATTGTCTCTGCCTCTTCCTGCTCCAGTGAAGCCTGAAGCCTGGCTGTCCAGGGGCCCCAGTCCTGGGCCTGGCCATCTGCAGCTGGTGTGTCATGTCTCTCTCTGGCTTGTCACCAGACTGTGTGTGTGATTTGGCTGTGGGGTGAGGTGAAGCAGAGAGACTTCCAGAGAGGTCACTTGCTGACATATGCCGATGGGACATCGTATCTGCGAGCAACTCTGGATATGGCAGCTGAGGGGTCATGGGGTTAGGGAGGTGGGGCTGACCTGTTGTGTGAAGCACAGCATTCTTGGGGGAGAGGACTGTGCATCTGCATCCTCCCCATCCTGTGTTGTCTCTATTCATGAGGGTTTCAGCTCTTTTCCTACCATGCACAGTTGGATGACAGCTGACCTCTCTAATGTGAATCTACTCAGTAAGAAAAGTAGAGGTTTTGCATAGGACGTTTATTTTATTTTATCATAAGGACTTTTATCTCTGGATTCTTAGTGTCTAATATATGTTTTTGAACTACATGTGTTCCAAGCTAATGCTACGTGAATAAAGATAGGAAAACAAAACAGAAGAATGAGACATTGACTGCCTAACGCTGTCATAACAATGATCAAAGAACACATTTTAAGCCTTGATATGGTAATTAATTCTTCCAAGAATACTGCAGTCCCATAGAGTTACTTATCTAATCAGACCTTACCATGGGGTCACCAGTGCTTGTAAGCCATGATAATCAATGGGAAGCCTTCATGCCTCCATTCATTTTTCTTCATACCCACATAGGGCTACTCCATACTCTCTATGCACGCTCATGATATCTTATTTAGGCAGAATAGGGCACCCAAGGACTCTGTTTCGCCCAGACCAACTCTATAATATGGGTGAAACTTTCCCTGTCCAGCAGTTCACCACTTCCAGGTGAGATGACTCCACTCAAGGACACCTTCAACAGTGACCTTTAATTTCACTGGGGAAACAGAGCAAAATATCACTTCTTTAAACTACCTGAAAATATGAATACATTAGTCATCTCTACTCCTTCTCTGCTATGGATTATGGAGACTTGCCTGTAGATTGTAAGCCACACTGAAATGTTCAGTGCCTTCTCTGAATGACTCCGATAAGAACAGAATGAAGAGACTGAGGAGAGGCTGAGGAGACAGGGAAATTATATATGATAAGTGAGATGAGCAAAATTGATTCAGAGGCACAAGTAATGGGTTAGTAGATAAAGACTGGAAGACAAGGGACAAAAGAAGATAGGAAGACAGGAAAAGGAGCAGACTGCTGGCATATACACCCTGGGGATTCTACTAGAAGGCTCAGTGGGGAACTTTGAGTAGCTTCCACCACTTCTTTTCATATACAAAAACACTGAGAACCCAAACATGGACTTGATTTCTCTAAGATGACTTTTTCAACCAGATGGTTGAAAGGTCAGGAAGATACAGATAACGCAAAGCAAAAGCCAATAGTGGGAGAAATAGACAGGAAACGAGAGGCTCTGTGGAGCCTTGTGGCTGAGGGAAGCAATGAGGTTATCTCATAGGGAAGTGGGCAGAGGTACAGGGTAGTGTGTGCTTCAAAGGAAGACAGAAGAGAGTATGAGAACGAGCAGGGAGGGAGCTGATATCTGAATTCCAAGGGCCATTTTCTGGCCAAGACATCAAAGCTTCAATGCTGTTCTTGTTCCTCCTGCTCTTCAAGGCACTTGTCTGGACCGGAGAAAGCACGGCTGGTAAGGAAAGCTCATGTATAAAGATGTCTGTGATGGGCACAGGAGGAGAGAAAGCTCTTAGGGAGAATCTGGCTTTAAAGAACACTGATCTTTCTTCCAAGCTGCATTCCAGGAGATTGCATTCCAGGAGAGTTGCAGGGAAAGAATTTTGCCTGCTGTATCTATTTCTGTCTCTGGTTTTGGAGAGAGGAACTTGGCTCAGGGAGTTGAGGCTCAGGGAAATGTGCATCTTGTAATTATTTCTATCCTGGATTCCTATTTTTACATTAGTGTCTCTTCTCTCATATTTTGGTCCTCTCTCTCTCTCTCTCTCTCTCTCTCTCTCTCTCTTTCTCTCTCTCTCTCTCTCTTTTTCTCTCTCTCTCAGCATCCCAGACTCTGGAATGGCATCATTCAACACCAGCAGAGCCCCTGACCTTCAGAATAGTCCACATCACCTCCTTTGCCAACCACAGTTGGGAGCACACCCAACTTTCAGCCTGGCTTGGTGAGCTGCAGACTCATGCCTGGGACAATGTCTCGGACACCATTAGGTTTGAGAAGCCCTGGTCCCATGCATATTTCAGCAAGGAGCAGTGGAAGAAGCTGCAGGCGCTGTTCCAGTTGTTTATCCATGGCTTCCCCCGGGAAGTGCAGAACTTTGCCAGCCAATTTCAGTTTGATTGTGAGTTTGTCTTTCCATGATAATCTTCTGCCTGAGGTTCTTGATGAACTTCCAAGGGGTGTAAATTTTGACCATCTTCCTCCCTTTCTAAACTTATTCTCTGACTTCCGTTGCCTTACACAAAATCCCCTTCTCCATCCTTTACTACCATACCACCCTTCCACAGACAGAACAGAGCTTGCATGGGCATTTTTTCTTCACATCCCTGAGTACAGCATTATGTGCCCACTCTGCCCTTATGCCTGAGTGCCCACATGACCTGACCTGTACTTCACTATTCCTATTTGAGTTTCTCCAGGCAGCCTTTCCTGCCTTCTTGACAGCTTTTCCATCCATGACTTCCCTGTTAATTACTTCAAGGGACCTTTACTGTCTTCAATTTTTCTTCCCACAAATTGCCTTCCCATTTCCCATCTCAAATCCAGTCTTTCATATATGATTCTCCTGGCATTTTTCTCCGCTTTTCTGGCTGGGCTGGCTTCTAGATTGTTTATATTCCCTCCTTGTCATTTCTACATTGATTGTCTTTTCTTTCTACCCTCAGACCCGTTTGTGCTCCAGATATCTAGTGGGTGCACCATGCAACCTGGGAAAGCCTACAAGAGCTTCTTAAATGGAGCCTACCAGGGATTAGATCTCCTGAGTTTCCAAGGAAGTTCCTGGGAGCCAGCTCCAGGCTCAGGAAGGCGGGGTCAGAATGTCTGCAGAGTGCTCAACCAATACTTAATCGTTAAGGAAATAGTGCATACCCTTCTCAGTGACTCCTGCCCCCGGTTTCTGGCAGGTCTTCTCGAAGCAGGGAAGTCAGAACTGGAGCTGCAAGGTGAGCCCAACCCTCTGGTCTCCTATGCTTAACTTGTCACTTTTCATCATTATATTGAAACATTATATTATCATGTCATTATAGTATAATGACAGGCTACAGGGAGAGATATCTAGTTTGTTTACTAGAGAAAGTAATGATTACTCAAAGTGCAGAGGCATCCAAATTCCTGAGCTGTGGCTTGAGATGCTGCCAAGGTTCAATTTCTTCCCATCTTCTTATCCAGTGAAGCCTGAAGTCTGGCTGTCCAGTGGCCCCAGTCCTGGGCCTGGCCATCTGCAGCTGGTGTGTCACGTCTCTGGCTTCCATCCAAAGCCTGTGTGGGTGATGTGGATGCGAGGAGATCAAGAGCAAGCAGGCACTCGCCACAGTGATATCCTTCCCAATGCGGATGAGACCTGGTACCTGAGAGCAACCCTGGATGTGGCAGCTGGGCAGACAGCTGGACTATCTTGTCGAGTGAAACACAGCAGTCTAGGAGGCCACGACATAGTTATCCATTGGGGTGAGAAGGGACTGGAACCTAGGCGGGAATGACAGGAGACAGTTCTGGAGATTTCGAGGGAGGAATAATAGGCACAAGAATGATAAAGGCAGAATTGTCTAATGAAAAGGATTTGAGAATGTTAGCAGTTAAATGAGAAGAAACTGGAAGGAGGGAATTAGAGGTACTAAAGGGAAAAGGAAGAGGGAATTATTCCTTGGGGGAGGAGACAAGGAGCGCGGATCAAGTAGAATTGAGAGCTCTAGAAAACACAGATGGGAACCTCAGGAAAGCCTCTGCCCCAATGACATGAGCAACTTTAGAGATACTTCAGGGACTGACATGTTTCTTTTACCCTAAGCAGGTGGACACTCCCTCCTCCCGACACTAATGTGTCTGACTGTCGTAGTTGCCCTGGCCATGGTCATACTGCAAGCATGTTGGAGAAAGCAAAGGTGCTCCTTTTGTTATTGTTCTTTGGTTACCCAATGTCTTCTGCTTTATTCTTCTTTCTTTTTTATGTTTTTATTGTAAAAATAGTGTACAGAGGGGTTAGAGTTACATGAGTAAGGCAATGAGTATGTTTCTAATCTATATTCTTCTCTCTTGAATCATCCTTTTTCTTTCTACCTGTCTCCCCGAGTCCTTTCCATTGTGATTAAGATCCTTTTCTTTTTTTTTTTTTTTTTCACGAGTTGTGGGGCTTGAACTCTGGGCCTGGGCGCTGTCCCTCAGCTCTTCAGCTCAAGGCTAGCACTCTACCCCTTGAGCCACAGCACCACTTGTCTGGCTTTTTCTGCTTATGTGGTGCTGAGGAATCAAACCCAGGGCCTCATGCATGCAAGGCAAGCATTCTACCACTGAGCCACCTTCCCAGCCCCTAAGATCCTTTTCTTTACCCACAGCTCAAATAAGAGCGCTCTCTACCCCTACATGCCCAACTCTGCCTTTCCTATGGAAGCCAAGGCCCAGGACCCCAAGAGTCCAGCCCATCAGCTCTACTTGGCACAAGAATCATGGATCAAAGCCAGAATCCGGATGTGGAAAATAAGCTTGAATCAATGATGGTGACATGTATTTATCTTACTTGCAAAATTCTTGAATAAGGTGTAAGGCTACTAAAGAAAATAGAATTTTATTTAAGTTGCTTATTCTGGCAGCTGCCAATGGAGGGGGGAATCTGTGCTTTTCATCTTCTACAATTTCTTTTCTGCTTTGATCACAAGTTCATTATCACCAATCCTTCAGGACTGAACTCAGATGTTTCTTTCTCATGGGCACTGCACAGAATTGTCCAACTAAAAGCTCTTCTTTTAAAATTAGATCTTTATCAACAGTTCCCTCAACCTCCTCTAATCATAGTGAGTTCATGCTCTTCTCTTCCTCTCAATTGCTTGAAAGTAGGCCTTGCATGCACATACCTGTGCAGGCAGGGACACATACTTTGAGGATACACCTAGGTTTAATGCTCTACTGTGGCCATCTTGTATTGCATCATTTTCTAACAAGTGATGGTGCATTATGGTTTTGCCCCAGTCCTCATAAATTGTGGTGTTAATTCTGCTTGAATGTAATAGTTTTCAATAAATTCTGACTGAATTCTGTGTATTAGTAAAGTGATTCTGCTTACTCTACTACCTTATGAACATCTCTGCATCATTTGAATGAGTTCTTATTAAAATGGTCTCTCTCTTCCTTCTTGTCTCACCAGAGGTAAAAGTATCAGGTTAAGGGTCAGAGGCTCCATGGTTCCTGGATGCCTTAATGTGTCCTTAAAATGTAAATAAAATAATCATGTGTCGGAACTCACACATGTCAAGTGAAGATAGATTTGGAATAGCACATTTACATCCAAGTGATTGTATGTGTCTTTGTTGATGTAATGTGCTCAGGGGTCAAGTTCACATTCTGAACAGTTAGAAAGAGAACATGGGCTTTGAGGATGCCTTTAATTGTATCTGTCTCGATCAGAGTTGTATCCTCTTGCCTTGATTATAGTCTGATATAGTGGATGCTCTTAGAGATGTTTGTCAACTGAATAAATGATATTGAACTTTGACTTACCAGAAGAGATTTTTTTTAACTTACGAGTTTATTTTGCTTCCTTTTCTATGTACTTGTAAATTTCACCATCAAATTCTCTGCTCATTACATTTATGTGTGAGAAATGTTCTTTTAACATCATATTCTTTATGTACATATTTTTTATTGTAAAGATACTGTACAGAGAGGTTACAGTTCATGAGCAAGATAATGAGTCCATTTCCTATGGAGCATTGTTTCCTCTCCTTTGATTTTCCCCTACCATCTCTTCCCTCCCCCATCCTTCCCCCACTACCTGCAAAGTTGTAAAGTTCATTTTCAACATAGTGTCTTATACATCTCATTGTTACAATGGGTTATCCTGTATCCTTGTTTCAGCATTTTGTTATTTCCCTTCCCCTCCCCAAATTTGAAAAAAATTATATACAAGATGCAGGACATCAGAATCAAATACAGTGAAAACAGGGGTGATACCATGGGGGAAGAACATGCAAAGATACAAAAGAAAAATCACATAGTACATTTTAAATACGTTGAAAAGAACAACAAGAAAGATAAAATCTCCTATGTCCCTATCTTGGGGTTCATTTCACTTAGTGTCAGCTTATATGGTTATATGTGCATAGCTTTTGACTTCTTCTGCTTGTACTAGACATATACTAGTTATTGCAGATAAGGGAAACTGTGGGACCTATGTTTCTTTGGGTCTGGCTTACTTTACTTAATATAATTTTACCAGAAGAGGTTTTGGTGATACCAATTTCTCTCTGATAGGCCATAGATGCTGATATTTCTCCAAAGTGCTGGTATCAATAGAAGATGTGCTAGACAACTAGTATTGTTCAAAGCTGACAAAGAGCAGGCTACAGTGTTGCTTGTCTGATATCCCAATATTTTTGAGCCTGAGGCAGGAAGGCTGTGAGTTTGAGGCGGGTCTGGACTACATAGCAAGTTAGAGTCCAGCTGAGGTTTCATGTTGAATTTAGGGGGAAAATGGGAGAGAAGGAAAAAAAGAAAATCAGAAAGAAAAAGAAAAAAGATGCTAAAATGTTAACTTGGCTTTGTCTTTTCTTCAGGTTACTCTTTGTGAATAAATAGCAAGAAGCTAAGAGACATATATGTAATTAGGAAGGAGGGAGGAGATTCTAGTGTATTATTGTTATTAATTATTTTTGAAACTCTGGGTTTCTTGGTGATTCCCAGGTACTTTCCTAGGGAACTGTAACTGCTGTGTACAATGATTTTCAGGAAGTTCAGGGGTTCCTGAATAAAATAGTTTTCTGATTTCCACTTCTCTGACTGACAATTGGCTGTAGTTGAGAAGTTGGCATAGATTTTGATGAAGTATGAAGGTATGATTTCTCCTGTTTTATGAAATTGGCAGGGCCCAATTAAAGATGGGATCAAAGGCTGATCAGGGACATCTTATTATTTTGACAAGAAATACAACAGAATGTGAGAGTTTTAAACATCTGTCTATGGTCTTCTTAGAAAAGTTCTATCTCGGGGCTGGGAAGGTGGCTCAGTGGTAGAGCGCTTGCCTTGCATGCCTGAGGCCCTGGGTTCGATTCCTCAGCACCACATAAGCAAAAAGGAAAAAGACGGAAGTGGCGCTGTGGCTCAAGTGGTAGAGCACTAGCCTTGAGCTGAAGAGCTGAGGGACAGCGCCCAGGCCCAGAGTTCAGGCCCCACAACTGGACCCAAAAACAAAACAAAACAAAAAAAAAAGAAAAGTTCTATCTCATTCCTGTACTGTAGATCTTTGGCTTGAATAATTCTGTCAAATCCGTGGGTGAAAATCTGCTATCAAAGAGCCAGGTATGCCACTTAATCATAGTTGGAGAATGTTAGTGGTATCACTGTGTTAGAACTTTGCCGCATAGAACTTACTAGATTTTTCTTTTTCCCTAGTAATCATCTCTCCAGGCAGAAAACCAAGAAGGTGATATGATTTGCTGACATTACTATGTTCTGTTGAGAACACAGAATACAAGAAATGATAAACAGAAGTCTAGAAAAAGAGGTAGAGGGTTAGTCATTGGTAATTTCTCTAGAAATAGATTCGTTTTTGGAGGGAATCTATGGGGCTGGTAGAATCAGAACATAATGGTCCAGAGTTCTCTCAGAAGGGTTCAGTCACTGTGTTCTCTTAGTAAGCTGTGGTGTTGGAGAAAGCCTGTCTCATATCTTTTTGCCTTGTGGAGAAAATAAGGGGAAAAGCAAGAAGACTTGATTAAGTGGAGCCATATAAACAGAAAAGGGCGGGTGTCTGGCCTCCAAATTTTTCACCTGCAGTTGAACATAGGTAAGTATGCACCATCTTCTCTACTTGTATCTAAAGGATGGCAAAAGCACAAGACTGCTTCTTCAGGTTACCTACACAAGGTAGTAAAACCAGTTCATCACCTTGCCTTCGGAGCCATTTCCTCAGTACCAGGTTTCTCCTGTTAAATTGTCCCATCATTTACTAGTATTACACCAGCAGAACTTCTTTTTCTGTCTGGACCATTCTAAATAGTCAAGCTGCAAAGCCTCTTTATAACTTGTCACATCCAGTTCCATTTTGTGTGATCCCAAAGCAAGTGCGGATATCGCTGCCAGATATGTGACACAAATACTGATTCCATGGCCCATAATTATAATTCTGTATTGACAATCCCCTACATACTACTAAACAAGAGAAGTACCTTATTTATTTATTTGTTGGTTGTGAGGCTTGAATTCTTGGCTTGGGCACTGTCTCTCAGCTCTTCAGTTCAAGGTGAGCGCTCTATCGCTTGAGCCACAATGCCACTTCTGGTTTTCTAGTAGTTTTTTGGAGTAAGAGTCTCATGGACTTTCCTTCCTGGGCTAGCTTTGAACCATGATCCTCAGATCTCAGCCTCCTGAGTAGCTAAGATTGCAGAGATGAGCCACCAATGCCCAGCAAAGTACCTCCTTTATAGACAAAAGTGGTTGAACAATAAAAATCATTTGAGAGTTGGGTGCTGGGGGCTCACGCCTGTACTTCTAGCTGCTCAGGAGGCTAAGATATGAGGATTAGAGTTCGGAGTCTGCACATGCAGGAAAGTCTGTGAGACTCTTATCTCCAATTAGCCAGCAAAAAGCTAGAGATGGACCTGTGTCTCAAGTGGTAGAGCACTAGCCTTGAGCCAAAAAGCTCTGGACAGTGCCCAGGCTCTGAGTTCAAGCCCTAGAACACACACACACACACACACACACACACACACACACACACACACACACACACTCTACATGCATTTGACTAAGCATGATATTACATGGGGTAGGTCAGATGCTCTATGCATCCTATATTCACATTGATCACATAGTCCTTATAACAATTTTGAGCAGATACTATTATTCTAACTTTACTGGTAAAGGCACAAAGGAAGGTACTAGCAAATACTGTAGGTCACATTGCTCCCAGACCACTGCATTCCCACTATATTACATATTCAACCAATAACTATTGGAGTCTTACTATGTGATAGATGCTATTACAAGTAATGAAATACAACAGGGACACAAAAACAAAATGCTCTGTCCTCACATAACTTACATTGTTTACCGAGTGGTTGGGGAGAAAGACAATAAGCAAATAAAATACATGAGATGATGATTTGTAATACAATTAAAAACTGAATCAAGAAAGGAGATGAGTGAGAACTTAAAAATATCATTTCAAAGATCAAGGCCAGACTGGTTGCATCGAGCAGATGGCATTAGAGACCCCAAGCAAGCACAAGAAACAAGCTTTGCATTTCTGGAGGAAGAGGGTTCCAGGCAAAGGAAGCAGATACAAGCTATCATTCTACTGGGAGCTATCTAAAAGCTGTGAGAATTGTAATGTAGCTAGACTGGAATACGCATGGACAAGGCTGGAGAAGTGTAGTTAGGTCATTAGGGGGTCTCATGGCTCATTGTACAGGTGTTGAAAGTCATTGCAGAGTTTAAATAAGTACATTCCAGCTAGGACAAAGAATATGAGTCCCTAGAAGTGGGAGGAGGCATTGGAGAAGTGATGTTCACAGGGCATAAAGTTTCAATTATCAGGACAAACAAGGTTAGATGTGTACCATATATCATGGTATCTTAAATACAGATTTCTGATACACACTTGAAATTTGTTGTGGATAGATCTTATGTGAAGTTCATTCAACACACCCCTGGACAACACTACTACGAGTAATCATGGAAGACAGAAGAAACTTTAGGAGGTGATGAATATGTGTTGGGCGTTGATGATGGTGCTGAGTCTATGATTGCATACTTTTCACAAATTCACTGAAGATTAAATAAGATATGAATAAGTCTTTTGGCTAATCATCCCTCAATAAAGTAGCTAAAAATACAAACTCTTAAAACCCGAATGTTATCCAGCCTATCTGTGATTAAAAAATGGGACATGATTGCATCTAGGCCCAAATTACAGTGACCCCAATCTTCTCACCTGCTGTAGTGTAAACGGAGCGAACTTGAATGTAGGCCTCACCTGCAGGAGGGTCACAACACAGCCTCTCTGCATCAGTTACCAAACTGCACCTGCTTTGTCGCACCCTTTCCAGCTCATGCTTCCACTTGCCAACTGTCTGCTGC